GGAGTGGCAGACGCCGGTTTCTCCTCGCCCGGCTGGAAGCGTTGGACTGGACACGGGGCGGGCGCGAGGGAGAGCTGGAGGACAAATGGCCTTTGGGAGGAAGGGGACCCCTGGTGGCCAGAGGGCGGAAGACATGCTGGGACATGCCATCAGGCCAAGCGTCCAGGTAGAGAAAAAAGCGGGCGGGGGGAGGGGGGCGCCGGGAAGCGTTCCGTCCACTCGCCGCATTTGCTGGGAGGCTCCCGTCTCACATCGCGTCTTCCCAGGCTCCAAGGACAAAATCCATGTGCCAGAGCAGTAGGTGTGGCACCGCGAGTCCAGAGTAAAGGAGACTGGTTTCTTTCGAACCGAACTTCTTACCTCTAGCGGCATTTTGCTTTCTGCATCTGAGTTTCTTTTTCCTTTCTTACTTCCTTTGTTTTAAAGTATTCGTTTATGAGGAATTTTGTTGTTGTTTTATTTTGTTTCCCTACGTACGGCGGACTTGGTTTTGGCTATGAAGCGACCCATAGCTGGATGCAGAAGGGTCTACTTTAAAACAAAAATAAAAGTTTATCTGCATTTTAAGAAATGGCTTAACATGCAAACGGAAACTTAAAGAAAACGAGATTTCCATATACTTTTCATCCACTGATGGCGTAATGAGCAATAATGATTGCTCAGCTAAGGTTCAAATTACTCCTTTCAGATCCTCATAGGGCTTGGTACTTTAACTACGGTTGGCTTTTAGCTGATTTTTTAAAAAAAACTAAGTTAGACCTGGTTAGTACTTGGATAGGAGACCATCATGAAATCTCAGGGCTGTAGGCTAAACTGGAAAGGCCAAACACACACACCTTGGAAGAATAATGGCAACCTACTGCTGTATTGCTGCCTAGATTTAACTTCTTTTGTCCTATTTTCTCTGCCCATTAACCAGTTTTTGATTCTTAAAATTACCCCCCCCCCAATAGGAACCTGTCAAAATGTTTTGCAAGTGCAAGTAAATAATGTCACATAATTGTGGCTGATCTCAGGAAACCCTAACATGGTATAACTTACCATTGCAGAATTCATGTTGCTTTTTCTTCAAATTGTTTTCTATGATGTTACCTCTTCACCCATTCACATAAAGCTATGGGCTTGTACTTTCTGGATCTCCTCTTGTTCTGTTTCTGTGTAGCCACTGAAGCTACAGTAATTCTGCAGGCAGTATGCCCAGCTATGTCCTGTTTCTGTGATTCAGTCTGCATTGATTTAAGGAAATTGACGCTTAGGAAATACAGTTGCATGCAAAACTGGGCAAATTTTATGTTGCAGTGAACCCTTAAGTGACCACAAGCTGACACAACCTGTCCATGATCTTTTTTTGCACCTTTCAGGGGAGACAACTGTTTATATGCAGTTGTTTACAGATACAAAATTAAAAATAGTGAATATGGCAGATCTTCCAGATATTCAAGAGTTGATTTCAAGAGTTCCATGCAACTTCCTTTCTTAACAGCAATTTCTCACTGTTGAAACTGTTAGCTGGGAAGAATACCCACGCATATATATTTCCCCTGCTTTGTAAGAGTGAACCACCTTTATTTTCAAATGTTGAGACAGCTACTTAGAGGAGACCATGATTGTTGAAAGTTGATACATCACAACCTGAGAACTCAGAAGTGTCCATGTTTGGTCAACTATGGGAATTGTCTTCTCCTGGCTAATTTTAAGCCTAATGAGTCAATTGCCTTTTGGAGCTTTATTAACAACTCTATAGTAAAAATAAAAGTGCACTGAATCAACTGGAAGGGTATCTGAATGTTTGTACCTGCCAGATTTACTATTTTCTTATTTTGAATCTGCAAACAACTGTACACAAAAAGTACGCATTCAAATTGCAAAAAGATCTCACATTTAACTTTGTACTATGTAGAGGCAGTGTCAGCTTCTACTCCCTTAAGGATTCACTGAAACCTTTAATTTGGCTTCCGGTGCCTCCATTTTGGCATGTAACTTTGAGTGTATGTGTATTCCTCTACAGGAGGAGCAGGTGCATTGTTATGGAGATCTCTTACAATACTAAAATGCTCATCTCTATCTTTTTTTTTTTAATGTACCCTATATTTTCACTACATTTTTTAACAAAGCCGATGAATAAAAGTATGGGCATATGAGCAGGCCACAGGCTGTGCTCTCAATAAGCCCTTTGTGTACATGACTGTGTTGCACATGGCTAATAACAACTCTACCTGGTAGACAGAAGTCTCAGTGAAATGGCATTTGGGAGAACACAGACACTCTACTAACAAATCATAGCACTAATGTCATGTTTAGACTGGGAAGACTGCTTCCTCTCTTTCTGAAGATGTCATTCCCTGATTGTACTGCAAGCACTCCAAGCTGATTAAAAGCTGCAGTAGTAGTAGATAGGCAAGGAAATCCATATACACATAGGCTGCAGATGTACTAATACATGGTGTGGGCTCCATTAAACCAAAGCTCAGTTCACTAAGGACATTGCTACTCTTTCCTTACATGCTTTTATGTGCTGAGCCTCAGCCTAAGTTTCCCTGCTCCAGCAGCAGGAAAGAGGACTGTTTTACAACACAGACCACTTATGAAGATGAATGAGTTCACAACTTTAATATGCTTTATACATTCAAACTGCTAACTAAAAATAACACAAATAGTAATCAGAGGGACCAGGAGCATCAAAGAATGGGGATGAATAAGGGGAAGAAAAGATTTAAAGAGCACGGAAGGGAAAGTACAAAAGGGTTATATTAATCTCCAGTTATCAACATTTTGTCTTTGCCAAAGGTTTTTACCAAAAGCCAACAACTAAGCTCCCTGCTGAAATATTTAATTTTCAGGGTTAATAATTATCCTTTTAAAGATACTCAAGTCTTTTGGGAAAACAAGGATCCTTTGAGCAGTTTCTTTGGAACGCAGATTAGAAAAAGCCTTCAATCAGCCTGAGCTAGCCAGACTCAGTTTGAGTATTGCTGTGTACAGCATCAAGGCTTTATATAAAGTGCACTTATACCGATTATGATAACCTCTCTGCTTGTTGTGTGTATTAAGTTTCCATGGGAGTAAAAGCAAATCACATCAGAGGCTGTCACACACTGCTGCAGGCTCTTACCTCTTGGATCCACTTGTATGTATATTTAATGAGGCATCATTAACTAATAAGCCTCTAATGAAAGACCAATTATGGGGAAATGGGGATCACAGAACCGGAAGAGCCTTGGAAGATAATCTATTTCAACGATCCACTACTCGTCTTTTGCCAATATAGCCAAAAGGTCTTTGGTCCAAATGCTGTTACTACAAGTATAGCGTTTGAAATTTTTGACTGACTTCCAGGAGCAATCAGAAAGAATGCAAACATTCTCACAAAGAGTGGTGACTTGTGCCGTGTACTGTCCTTACAGATACAAGGCAACTTCCCCCAATTTGAAGCCCTCCAGATGCACTGAATTCCTAGCCAACAGCATAACGGAAGTTGAAGTCCAACATATTAGAAGGAAAGGCTGCTATGTAACTTTAGCCTAAGGATAAAATCTATTGTTAGCTATGCCAACTGATACACAAGGAAAATTATATGTTTAATAACAAATATAAGATTGAAGATGAAATTGACAATAAGCTTACTCAGTTTCAGATTGTTTCAATTATTTTTAGCACCATGTTTTACACTACTTCAGTTTTATTTATGCAATTATATTCTGTTGTATGGTAGTAACATGAACCCTAAAGTGTGTGTGTGATGTATGACAGTTGAATAAACCCCAAAATGGGTGTTGGTGTTTACTGTCAGTGAAGAACATAGTCAATATGAAATAAGCGTGTTATCAAACTCAGCTCTGGTAGTTGAGTATAAAATCAAGTTAAATTTCAGCACATTTTTGCAGGTTATGATTTTATTTGTACAGAAAGCAATACAAAAATCATCCGTGCAACTCTTCCAGTTTGCAGTTAAATATCTTTGTTTTTCTTCATTTATTGCTTTCATCTTGTAATTCTAGATTCAAGAGTTGATTTTCTAGTTTTTGTATGTCTACTCGATGCTTCATTAAAAATTTCCCATTCAGATGAAAGACAGGTATTTCATACTTGTATTTTTCAAGCCAGACTGAATGATCTGGAAGAGTTATGTCTATTTCCTGCAAAATAAACTGTTAAAAAAAAAAAAAGGACAGTGAAATAGCTAGCAGCCAAACATTAGAAAGGCATAGTAATAAATTACACTAAAAGAACTGAGGTGATCTCTAAGAAAATCTATGTAGGTTGTAAAGCAGTATTTCCCTTGGAAAAACTGATTAGGTTCACAATTTTGTTCAGCAAGAATCTCTGAATAATCTGAATAAGAGGATTTGGGGACCCCAATAAGCACTACTGCTAAAGATAAAAATGTCTTGAGAAATAGTTTCCCAATTTGTCCACAGAGGCACTCAGATTACAAATGAACAAGTGATTTTGAAACCTGCAGGCTGTGTGATGAAATATTACATATAGGCTATATTTGCACAATATTTCGAACCACAATCCAGCCAATCATATTTTAGTTTAGCATGTTGGATGAACCCAGCTCATATGATTAGCTTATGTTTGCCTGTATCATGTGAACTTAAACCATTGATTCCCTGAATTATGGTACAGTAAGTATGTTCTATGAACAAAATCACTCCCTGCTCTTTTTGTCAAGCATCCTGGGTAACCTTTGGCTACCTCTATGTGAGGTGTACCTATTGGTTTTATAAGTGGCAACTGTGAGTCACTTACCGAAGACATGCTCTCTAGGCTGGGGAGATCTCAACTGGTTCCATTTGGGAAGAAAAAGGACTTGTAAAATGGGAGTGGGGATTAAAATGCCCAGATCAGATCTAATTTCAGAAAGCTTTCTGGAATGCTCTAGTCTCAGTGTTTGAGCCCTGTACAGATTAGGGGCTTCATGCTTCCCACCTCCTCATATTATTCTAGAGCAGATCAGCCCTGTGCAGTTGGTCCAACAATCTTCTGGTACCATTATACACAAAATATGTTATTTCCTGAAGGCCCTGGGGGGGTAGATGCAGAGGCACTTTATTCTGAGGCATCCAGAATAAAGCAAACTCAGTGAACAGATTCTAGCAACTGAAGCAAACATTTGCCTTGAACTATCTCTTGGCCAAATTTTCAGTGCACAATCATATTTCTTCTCCCCTTTCACTATCATTCTAGCTTCAGAGAAAATCCTTATGCTAACTCATTCCTGCTTAACAAAGAAACAGTTTGTATCAGATTTCTAAATAAGAAAAACAAACGACCACACACTTAATGGGAAGAAAATCTCATTGATTGTGATTCTAACTATATTTTTTTAGCAAAGCGATTGATATAACTTCTAGGCTGCATGTGATAACACACCCATCTTCTGTTCCAGTAACAGTTTGATCTGGATATTGCTTTATCTTGACCATTTAAATGGGCAAAATTAAAGCCATGCAGATTTGCAAGCAATTATTTTGGTAGGAACTGTAATACATAAAATTGAATTATTTTACAGTCAACTATTTCCAGTTTTAGTACTGTATTTGCTTACTGTTTACTGTTTTATGAAACACTATTGCTAACAATTAAGGTCTCTTGGTGGTTTACAATAAAATGCACTATCACAATTAAAACCGAAGATACTAAGAACAGTTAAAAACAAACAAAATCAACAATTAAGCATTGTTGATTTAAAAGGTACATTGTATGGCCTTTTAAAAAGCCAACAAAGAAGCTAAGCCTCTTAAGCCAGCAAGGGGTGTATTCCAAGAAGAATGGAGGCAACTCCAGAGAAGCGTTAATGGAGTTGTAGCCAGAACAGCTCATGGTATCATATAGAAACCAATGTCCTCTCAAGTAGCCTAAATCAAGGTATATAAGGCTTCAAAGACAACTCTAATGCAGAGTTTCCCAACAGGGGCATCATCATCATCACCCCATCCCATCCTGGAGCAGGATTTTTAAGTTCGAGAGGGCAGTTAAATCTAAGGAGAAGGTAGGGACATTGTTTAGTGGCAAATTTACATGAGTTCTCCTTGCCAGAGTGTCCAGTCTCTTTATCTGCAACTATAAGGGATAAGCTTGATTTATGAATCAGAATGTGTAAAGAATTTGATGCATTTTATAGCAATCATAAAGACTGTAACATATTATTAAAATAATGAGTGCTTATAATAAATGTCTGTGTTAACCATAAGGTGGAAAGATTTATATAATGCTATACTTATCCATCATTATTTGTCTGCTGGTGGATTTTATTTATACCATTCACAAGGCATGATTTACCCATGAGAAGTGTTTGATTATACATTCATACTTAGTATTAACGTTTTTTGAAGGAGGCAGTAGAAAAATGATTTCACTGGAATAGGATCCTCTTGGAAAAAAGTATGGGAACTAATGCCCTAGAGCAAATTGGCTGCTGGTGTACAAGTATAATGCCCAGCAATAACATGGCTCTGGGTACTTCCGGAGACCAGCTGACTATAGTACTCAGTTCTGTCCCAAATGAAGTTCCTGAACTTGTCAGAAAGGCAATCCCAAGTATGACATGTTGCAGTAATCAAGCCTGGAGGTTAACAAGCAGGTATCCCGCAAATGATGTACCAACTATAATTGATATAAAGTGGTCCTGGCTGTAGCTTCAGTCTAGGACAATGTTTCTCAACCTTAGCGACTTTAAGATGTGTGGACTTCAACTCCCCATGCTGGCTGGGGAATTCTGGGAGTTGAAGTCCACACATCTTAAAGTGGCCAAGGTTGAGAAATACCGGTTTAGGAAACTGGAAAGATATTGGACCTAGAATAAGCCTCTTAAACTCTTTCTCCTTTTTGACTATTTGACTTTGTATTGACTATATCAATATTTGGTATAGGATACATGTAACTGTAGGATACATGTGTATTGACTTTGTATTGACTACACCAATATTAGGTGTAGGATCATGTGATTTAAATGATTTTAACCCCAAGATTGATTGATATTTTATGAGGCCTTCCTGCATTTATTCTGTCACATTATTTTAAATGAATCTACAAAATATTGAATCAATCACTCTCTCATGGCCATCCTGTAATAATTTTATTGCATAAATTATTAACTACCTATTAGGAAATATTTAACTTCTCCCACTTTCAGGATTATCACTGGACATTTATTCTAGCTTCAGTTACTGACTACTCAGTACTTCAGAACTTCAGAACTGTTCTCCTTTTGGGGCTCAGTTTGAAAGTTACTATTTGACTCCATGACAACTATTAGGAACCCTGTGTGGGTTAACAATTATTGCTGCTCTGTGTATGTACCTATAACATTGGATTATTTTGAACTGTTTACTCATGGAAAGTTTATTATATAATAATGCCAGTTGAAAAATACTTTTTATTCTTTTAGTAAGATACCAAAGATGTAGACTGGATTACTAGACTTACTTATTCTGTGACATTCCTGACTAATGGTAAGGACTACACCATGAATGGGTCAAGGGGAAAGGGAAGGCCAAGAAAGTTAATGAAATCCTCAAAAACAGGAAGATGAGAAATTTAAAGAACAAAAGGCTGTGTATGAAGTGGTGTATGGATATGGCAGAAGTAAGGATGATTTGCAGGGATAGAAAGCTATGGAGAATTATAGAGAATGGAATTGGTGTAAATTAATTTCAGATATGCTCCCTTTTTCTTATCTCAGGCCTTTAATTTCTTAGGTTTAGTATTTTTTCGTCCTTTTCTGTGCTTTGCATAACTTTGCTTACCTTGAAAAGGAATAGCATGATAAGTAATCATGTAGATGCATGTAAAATAGTGGGGAAATCCAATCTTTAAAAATCAACTGGGCTTCTCATAATATTATTACTTTGAATTAATTCAGTTCTGAGAAAGCCATTTTAAAAAGTTTGCTGAATTAAAAAAAAAAAAGAGTGAATAACATCAGATTGTTTCTTGGCAGTTTATTCAATTCAAGCATTTCTAATGTGCTCTTTTTTGTCCAGATTGTATTGTTGCTTCTGAAGCTCCATAGTGGTTAGAAGTTTTAGATGGGTTAAACAGAGCTCCCAGTAATCCTTTTGTTATGGGAAGCTGATGAAATTGATATTTGTTACTTAACATAAGTTCTTCTGTGCTGTATCTCTAGCATTTGAAATCTATCAAATCTACAGAAATTATAGATTTTCAGCCAATAATTGAACTAGGTTTTTATTTGCAATGAAGTGGCAGGAAGAAGCAATATGGTCAAGTGTTGCTATATTTACAATATAATTTTCCAGAATTCCACCCTTAAATAATTCTCAAGATGATTAATTCTGAGGTTAAATTATAGTGTGAATGCTGTTGCATGTATATAGACCATTTTATTCTGTTTGTTAATATAATATAATATAATATAATATAATATAATATAATATAATATAATATAAATGAGTAAATGCCCTCTTGTCAAGTTCCAATGTATAACTCTTCACCCAACCTATTATCAAATGCAGGCATACATTCAGGAAATGACATCATTATCTGAAGATGGGCATCATCAGCATATAGATCATACCCAGTTTCAAAACTCCTGATGAACTCCTTCAGCAATTTCATGTAAATATGGAAAGAACTAGAGAAGCAATTCTCCAGTGAGGAGCAATTGCCTTCAAATGATACCATCTAAATTTGCTTTGAGCCAAAGGAAAAGAATAATTGCAAAGCAGTGGCTACTCTTTTTAGATTTTTCAGGCAACCCATATAATTTGGTCAAACCACCGAGAGGCCAAGAAGAACCAAATGAGTCACACTTTCTCTGTTGGATACTAAAAATGATTAATCTGGCCAACCAAGGCATTTAATTCCTGTAGCCAGTTCTGAAGCCAGTCTATAATAGAGCAGTGCATCTTTCAGTTGCAACACAAAGGCTGAAAATGCTTTCTGAGAATTAGCTTTGTGAAAATCAGTCATGAAAACTAATTTAAGAAATTGCTAAAAGAAAGAGAAACTGATGCCAATACATTCATGTTTTTCTGCAAACAGGAAAGTTCTGATTCACTATTTTAAATATTATGTGTTGGTGTTCTGCTCAAACAAAGGACTGTGTTAGCTTACCTTGTGTTTATGTGGTTCAAGCATCACTTTGGCTTCTTCACACAAAGAACAGGGATGCTTAAAGAGGGGAGAGAAAAAGCAGACAGTGATGAAAAATAGCAGAGGCTAAATAAAGCTTGCTAATATGCTCTCAAACCATTTTGACAATTTTTTGGCATAAGGTAACACTGGACTCTGTGTCTTAGATTAAAGGGGGGAAATGAGAGAGACAGCACTGACAGAATTATCTATCCTATTTCAGGGGACATGGTTGTACCTAACCGTGGCACATGTCCCAGCAATCTTTTTTCTGTCATCTCTTTATAATGCTGACTTCCTGGGTCATTCTGCTCTGGGCAATGGGAAAGTTGGATTCTTTGAAAATGCCTTCTCCTCCTATACCTGCCAGGCCCCTGAACCAATTCCTGGCTCAGACCCCTGGGTTAGTCTGAAAAGCAGCTACCAGTAATGGCAGTTGAAGGGTTGTATAATGAAGCAGGAAAGAGACAGCCAGTTTTCTGCTGCTTCATGGCACAACTTTTCCTACACCTCTCAGCTCTTCTTTTCAACACAGAAGTAGTGATTCTCTGGAACTGTGCTAAATTCATATCCAAAAGGAGCCCGATAATCAGTTCTGGGATGGCACAAGTGGTTTGTGCAGGTGTATTCAAAGGGAGACCACATGTTAGGCGATACCAGTTGACCATCAGGCTTCTTTTGAAATGGGTTTAATGGTGCTAAAACCCTGTCTGAAAGGGACCCAACTATTAAATGATATCAGCTGGCTGGTAACATTTGGTAAGAGAAGAGGAATTAATTGTTTTAATACATCTTGTATTGTGTAAATAAAAACAGGACTGTTTGCCAGCATTGTGCCTGTTGCAGGATACAAGTTGCCAGTGGAGGCAGAAAATTTTATGTTGGTCTAGTTTTCTGCCAACTTAAGGACTACTGGGTAGCACTCAGGAAGAGCCCACTAGTGATTCATCACTGCTCCACAGCAAGAAAAAATGAAACGAGGCATGCAACAATACAATTTTTTTTTTTAAGGTTACCTAATTCACAGGAACAAGTGGCCAACATTGACAGCCCTCAATGTCCTTTCCCACACTATAGGAGGAGAAGGTGAAGTCAAATATTTAGTACATTCACCTATATCACCCTGTAACATGTAAGGCAGATATAAATACATTTCACTTGAGCTCAATGAAGCATACAGATAGATCTCAAGGATCTGTACTTAACTGCAGCTTCTTACAGTTTATTAAAGACAGACCCTATCTCACACATTATACAGCAAAAGAAAATACATGCTAAATATTTAATTCATATCTGCTTTTAGCTTGTAGCACATTACTAGGAAAACTGCAGTTATACAGATGTTGTTGAACTTCAGCTTTCAGCAGTTCCAACCAGCATGGCCGATGATGCTAGCTCAGCAGCATCTGAAAAACCATAGGTCCCCACCCATTATGTGGCTTTCTCAGAAGAAAGGAAAAATGGAACACAGAAGGTGGTTCTGAAGGATCAGATTAGGAAGGAGAGAGAGGTTTCCTTGCCTCACCCACAGCCAACACTATTTTGTTTGATGACATAAAGTGCAACATGAAGGAACACCGGTTTGGTTAGAGTTGGGTGGAACATGCCTTTTGCATATTTACAGATGTGCCTCTCTTCCCTTTAGTTTTAGAACTTTAGCATTCACCATGTTTTCTGCATAATTGCTGGAGTAGAATTGCATGTATCATGCAATGCGGGAAAGAAAATTGTCTTTAAAAGTGAGAATTGGTGACTTCCAGAGGAAGGAATGGTGGACTGAAGACAGCTTCAAGTGGAGCCAAAGAGCATGGTGAAGAACAAAGAACTGGTGAGTAGACCAGCTCTTCAAACCTCTCCGAACAGAGAGAGGATGGGAGATTGCCCACAAGCGCTCCAGACAGTTGCTGCTCACAAGGAGACTGCAAGACAGTGGTCTCTGGCAGGTTTTGAGCATTGGGAGACCAAGGAATAGCCATCTTGTTCAAACTGCGGTCAGCGCTCTTAAAAGGACACTAAGTTCACATACCTCCTTTTCTAATCACATTCAGAAATTGCTTATTAACTACTTTTCAGCTGTTAGAAACCTTTGGATTGACAAGTCTGAAAACATCAGGTGAATTTGCCTTCAATCCTTAATGAAAGAAAATTTTAACTACAAGCTTAAGAACTTTTAAAAAAATGAAATAAACAGCAGAAAGCTAATTAAGACTTTGATTTTAGAAAGTTATAAATAGATTATGGGTCCAGGTAAATTTGAAATAAGATTCTGGAATTAATTATAAAGAATCCTTCCCATGGGAAAGTTGATTTGTTTTGAATTTTTTCTAAGACATAAAAGAGAGAAACAATTTTAAAAATTGGACACTAGAAGGAACTAAAGATTTTAATTAAAGGAGAACAATACATAAACCTGATTAACACCTATAGAATGAAGCAAAATATTATAACATTGAAAATACTAAATGATATTTTTGAAAAATAGAATCAGAAGTTAATATCAACAATGTCAATAGCGATGTTTGCTTCAATGGATAGACTGTGCCCAAAAGATGTTTTGGAAGAAATGACAGAAGAGAAACAAGTTTTATTTGACAGGATAGAGACTGAGTTGGCACTGAAAGTGGATCTACAAATGACAGGCTACAAGAATGACATGGAAAAAGATGTTTCATTGGACATATAAAATAAATTGGTTGATGCTTTAAAAATCAAAAGGGAATTACAAATAATAAACCAAGAGAGTGACTTGGATAATTCTTTTATATCTTGCCTAGCAGCAGCCTATTTGACAGGATAGAGACTGAGTTGGCACTGAAAGTGGATCTACAAATGACAGGCTACAAGAATGACATGGAAAAAGATGTTTCATTGGACATATAAAATAAATTGGTTGATGCTTTAAAAATCAAAAGGGAATTACAAATAATAAACCAAGAGAGTGACTTGGATAATTCTTTTATATCTTGCCTAGCAGCAGCCCTTGAGCACTTGGATCTTATTGTTAGGTTGATGGAACAATCTCCTAAGCTTATAGTACTGCAGGACTTCAACTTCCAAGTCCTATGGTTGGGGTCATGTGCAGTTTAGATCTGCACAGCCTCCATGACAATCAGGTTGTCTTGGTTCTTTTCATGTTGGTGGTCACATGCCAGACCTAGATTTAAACTTGGAGCAAGGCTATCTGAGCGACTGCCTCTCCCTAGGTTCATCTGCCTGTCCTACCAGATCTAGCAGAAAGGGCATGTTACAGGTCCCATCACCTAGGGAGCTACATTTGGGAGGCTCCAGGTGGTGGGCCTTTTCTACTGTGGCACCTGCACTGTGGAATCTTCTTCCTCCTGAGGTGAGGTTGGCCTCGTCATTGTTGAGCTTCCGAAGGTCCCTTAAGACTTGGTTATGTTAACAGGCCTGGGGACCCCAGGGGACAGCAGAATTAGTGAGGTGGCTCCCTTATTTTTAACATCTTTTTATTCTCTCAGTTTTATTTTGCTTTGTATATTTTTAATGTATTTATTATTTTTAGCTTTGTTGTACGCCGCCCAGAGTCACCTGTGGTGAAATGGCGGCTATATAAATTGGTTTAATAAATAATAAATAGCATATACATTGAACATGAGAACATTGCCACCAGTCCTCTGCCATGATCAGGTCACTCTCTGGTCAAGCTCTTCCCCCACTGCTCTACAATGTTTGTATGAAGCTGTTAGGAGAGGTCATCTGGGGTGAGGTATCATCCATATGCTGATGATATTCAACTGTATTTTGTGGCTCCAGGCTATGATGGAGATGCTGTGGAAGTCCTAACATGGAGTCTGGATGCTGTGAGGCTCTTGAAGGCTAGAAACAAGTTCAAATAAATATCACCAAAACAGAGTTGTTTGTCTAGATACACTCTGACTTTGAGATGATCTCTGTGTTAACTCTGGATGGGGATCCTGTTAAAACAGCTGGTCTGTAACTTGGGAGTCCTCTTGGATTCACAGCTCCTGCTTGAACAGCTGGCAGAAGCCATGAAGGAGGGGCTTTTGCCCAGCCAAGGCCAGTGAAGCAGCTGCAACCCTACCTGAACAGAGAAGCCTTGTTTATTGCCAAAGAAAGTTTTTCTCAACAAGGTGCCCCGCAGATGCATTGAGCTGCAATTTTTATTATCCCTAGCCAGCATGACTAAGCCAACTGAAGTCAGTGAAATAGACATCTGTCAATTGCACTATAAATCTATCCAGCACCTTGAAGACTAAATGATGGAAAGGCAGAGGAGAATTATTTTAAAAATACAAAGCAATTTATATTACTTAATATCAGGGATCGCCTCTCCCCGATCACATCAGCCTGTCACATTTGATCTGGCGGAGAAGGCATGTTGCTGATACCATCTGCCAGATACTTACATTTGATGGGTCCCAGGAGGTGGGCTTTTTCTGCCATGGTGCCTGCCTTATGGAACATTTCCCCGCCCCCCAAATCAGGTTAGCTCCATCCCTGTTAACGTTCCGGAAGTCCCTCAAAACCTGATTATGTCACCAGGCCTGGGGTTCCCAGGGAATTGGAAACATTTTGAGATGGTTTCATTGTGGTAGATATTTTTACTCTCTCTGTGTGGTTTGTATATTTTAAACTTTTTATAATATTTTCCTTTTAAATAATGATTTTTTATATCTTTATAATGATTGTTTTTATGTATCTGTGGTTTTTTTCAATTGTTGTACGCCACCCAGAGTTGCTTTTTGCGAGATGGGCACTATATAAATATAATTAATTAACTAATTAATTAATATTGGATTTACAAAAGACATTTCTTAAAGCTTGGAGAAGGGGTAAAAAAGAAATGAAAAGAAATCAAGTTCTGTGATATTACTTGAATGGATTAAAGATTAAAATTATTAGAAGTAAAATTTGATCAAGGTTAAAATAGATACGTTGTGATTTCTGGCAACCCCTAATGGACTTTTGATGACACCAGGACTGAAATGATGTTTTATGGATTTGTTTATAGATAAGAATTGGGACATGGGCTGAAGAGATTATTGGTTGTAAATTAA